CAGTGAAGTGCTGGGAACCCTTGAGTCAGTTTTACCTCTACTAAGGAATTTTGTTCACTAAGAGGTGAAAAGTAAGCTTTGGATATCAAAACTTAGCTTTAAAAACTCAACAAGCCAACCTTAGGATCGAGACGTTTAACCTTGCTCTCCTCTGCAGCCTTCTTAAGAAAAGCATTCTTTCTTTCAGCAGCACTTGTAGTGACGACTAGATGGGCAGCATCTTCTCTCTCTTCACTCCTCGCAATGTCCAGCAGACTGTCCGGCTCATTTTCGAATACTCCACCATGCGACTGCGTGCAAGAAATCAATAAAAGTCGTGTTAAAAGAGGTTTGTTTCCAGTCCATGAAGGGGGCCAATTCGACTGGTCAGCACATCCACACGGACCAATCAGAGGAGAAAGAAAGGGGAAGCGAGAGACGCAGTAATCAGTCAAGGAGGAAGCACAAGTGGCAGCACTGTCATGCATAAGAAATGAAATCAAGGATTGTTCTCTCGTGCATTTTGATTATAGCTTCTTGATAAAAGGAAAAATAATAAATGAAGACACGAAATCACTTTTGAAACATAACCTCCATGTGAGAGCGGCACTTGACATTTACAAGATTTTGATAACAAATCAGAGGTGGACGCTGCAGACTCATCAGCAACACCGGTGTCACCAAGTGGGCATACAAGAATAGTACACTTTCACAGTCGATGCAAGATGCAATAAACGCACCTGTAACTGTTTCACTTTAATCTGGTCGAACGAAAGACGCTTTTCACCTTATCTGCTGTACCATTTTTGTCTTTTTTAGTAAATAAATGTTTTTAATAAAACGAACGCATCTAGCCAGTCAACCGTACAATCCCTGACGGCCATCTAGTTTTGAAAAATGTAAAGTTAAAAGAACAAACGGTAAAGACATTGTGGATAGCTATCTGCATGGCCACTTGACTGCAGTCATGCTCGCAATGTCAGCAGTGAGCTCAGGCTCTAAATGACGAGATTGGTGTGAGAACTGAGGGCAGTGCAACGAGCCTGCCGAAAATGTAAAACTATTAATCGGAAGAATTTAAACTTACTTTTGGCTCCACGAAGAGGTAAAGCCAAAATTATGGAGAACGTCAGCTCGTTATACACGAAGAGCCTTTCTACCCAAGTCTTTGCTCTGATTCCTCTCACATCAAGTGTGCGTGGCATAGTGAATGAACTAGCAATCAAGATCTGAGCCGAACTGGATTTAAGAAAAACTCCACGTTGGTGGTGTACGTTTTCAATCTAGTTGTAAGCGTCGCTAAGCTTGTCATGATGCTGAGAGGGTAGGAAGCGATCACTTTGAGGCAACTTATATGCGCAGAAATATTTGAGATATCTTCCACCAATAGTGGCCTACTAACGAAGGGCGTGCACCATGTCTCACATTATTGGTTAAAATAACACTGATGTTAGATGTTGATCTTCACTGCCTCCTTAATCAAGTACTGTTCAGTGGAGAGGGGAGGAAGGCCAAAAG